CTGCTGGGAGAGCCTGAGCTTCCAGCGTGGTAGCCGTGGGCTCTCTCAGCTTGTAACCTCGACTGAGGACCGCTCAAGAGGCAGTCAGCTCAACTCAGCTCTCAGCTTACTTGTAGAGGACCTTTGAAACAACATCGGAGTATCAGCTGTCAGCTGCATGCTGAGGTTTTTGCGGGCTGTTCCGACTGTTCAATCAGTTGCAGCGGAAGTCTTTCCATGGCACAACATCGGCACAGTTTTGATCTGAATGGGCCTACCAGGGATCTAGCTGATGCAGCCAGCCTACGGGTCTTGCTCCCCCGAGCAGAACTGTGCCTTGAAGATTGAGGAGAAGGAGTTTTTCTTCCGGCTCAGTGTGGCGGCCGTCAGGGATCTGGCTGCAAGGTCACCGAGGAGAAGTATCGCGAGAGCAGCGAGCGGGAGATCAAGATAGCACTGATGCTTGTCAAGGAGCTCATCGGCCTCTGGGGTTTGCCATCAACAAACCACATCGAGCAGAGTACCTTTGACAAGGTGGTGGGTGCTAAATAGAGCTGCAGCTCTTCACCCAGGGCCGACCTTATTCCTATCTTGTTTGTTCTTAGGTGGATGGACCAGGACAGTGTCTGTAGCTTCAGTTGTCTGTCCATCGTTTGTCTCAGTCGCACGCACTCGACTTTGAATGAATTTCATCAGTCTGTCCATCGCGATGATGATTGTTCATTCTTTCTTCTCTTCTTCAGTTTTGTGTTGATGAAACGAGGGAGCTGGAGGGAAGAAGAAAGACAGGCACAAGGATAACAGCAAGCGAAGGACATACTGATGCTCACGACCAGATGTCACGTTTGGTAGATTGCTGTATTGTGTACTTCACTATCAACCACCGGCTTTGGCTTCAACTGCTCACTGCGACCTGCTCTTATCTCACGGTCCCACCTCTGTACATCTGAGGCTCAGTCGAGGTTACAAGCTGAGAGAGCCCACGGCTACCACGCTGGAAGCTCAGGCTCTCCCAGCAGTCCTCCTCCATCTCGTTCGGTCTTGACAGGAACCACTCGATGAACGCGCGCGAAAGCCCTTCGTGACCCCTGCTGCCTCGAGCAGCTCCTGTCCCCTCCTCGCCCTCGCCCTCGCTCTCGCCCTCGCCCTCGTCACTGTTGCTGCCGCTGCCTTCTTCCCGTCCTATCCTCCGTAGCGAAGAAGCTTCTTTCCCCTTGTTGTAAGGCCAGCGCGTGATCCCGAGACGGCGGCAGGCGCCTCTGAAGGCCGTCAGCGACAAGCCCTGCATACAAGTCAGTGACACCCTCCAGCCTCCTCCTTGTCGTCGTGTCTCCCTCACCAGCGAGGCGGCTGCTTGCTCCTGCTTGACATGAAACAGACTCTCAAGGTCGCTACGCGTCACTTCCACTGCCGACATGGGCCGCTGGACGCTGTGTCGACGGCGAGGGTAGACGCGGATGGAGGCATCAGGGGGGTCATTGTCAGAGCTGGGCATGGCAGGGAGGGACATGCAGGAGCGGGTGCGACTAGGAGAGGAGCTTTAGGAGCAGCGATTGGCGGCGACTGGCCAGGGCAATAGGGGGTTCGGGCGGCCGCCGCTAGGAGTCGGAGCGAGTTTGAAAAGAGCTGTGTTCATTCGACCTCTTCAATTGAAATCGAATTTTTTGCTCTGGGGAGGGCCCGGCAGTACTACGGTACTAGCCAGAGTCACGCGGCCCGGTAGCGGCTCCCCGGGGCGCGGCCGGGACCCGGGGCGCCCGGCGGGGGCGCCCGGCCGCCGTTCACCGTCACGCCATCCCACTGTGACTGAGAGCCTCCCGGAGCCGCTTACGGAGGAGTCGGAGTTCGGAGTCCGCCGCTGAGGCACAGTCACCACGGCGGGCCGGCCAATCAGACTGGCAAGAGCCCGGGGCCCGGGCCGACCGTGCCGGGCAGTCCGATCCGATCCGATGCCTCCTGACTGTGATCATCGGATTGTCCGACAATCCAATGAAGTTGCCTACACGACTGACATGCCTTATGCGTGTGTGCTTGGTTGACACAGAGAGGAGGTAATATGCGTCTTATAGCAAGCTAATCAATACAATACTAAATTGCCTAATCAGAGAGATCCTTTAGTAAGTTACAAGAAACAATCTTGACAACGAACAACTCTACAGTCTGAGATGTGCTCCAAGCTCAATCATACGAAAGAAGGTTGTGGATGCTTGACCACAGAAAACGACCAATACTCCATCTTGTAATGAGCATCAAAAGGATTCGAAAACTTCTCTAGGCTCTGGAATCCATAGCGATGCTGATTCCCCGGAGTCCTACAGCTTCGTTCGAAAAACAAGCTCGAGTTGTTGGAAACGTCGTCTTGCAGTATGTCGCAAAAAGTACAAACGCTCACACATGATCCAACCTTGGATGGCCTGGAGCTTGAGTGCGATGCAAGAGCCATTGGCTGAGAGCCATCTGGGATTCAAACTGCCAGAGTCGCCGCCTGCCGCAGTGCGCCGGCGGGTGCGGATGCAGCAATGGGGAAAGGGGGAGGGCAGGCAATTTGGTTGTACTTGCACCCCCAGGCGTGTAAAAGCGTGCCACGGTAAGTTCAAAAATAGTTTTAATGTTTGAAACCTTGTTGTTTGGAGGAAGCAAGAATACTTGTAAACCTAAAACTGCTCGACATGGTCCCCGATTCAAACTTCCGGCAGATTTTCAACCATCAGTGCCGAAATTTCTGGTACAAATTTTCAGTGCGCGGCATAATTGAAAAGCCTAGGCTGAGGTACCCCGCTCGAAAATGATGAAAAGCGAGCATTAGAAAATACCATGGAATGACGCCGGCCCGCCGGCGGCCGCCCCCGCGGCCTCCAGGCTCCGGACTCGAGTAACGGTCACTGACTCATGCGGCGGCGGGGCCGGCCGGGCCGCGTTTGAGTCACGGTGCTTGTCAGTCAGGCCGCCGTGACTGATTTGTAACAAGTTACTTGAACCGTCAATTGAATTGAGTAAAAACATTAAGTTAGCCTCGGAGAGTGGGGCGGACCCTCCGAGCCTGACTGACTTGAAGAGCCCGGCGACTGACTCGCGGGCCGTCATATCCGATCTTTCACGTACGTGCCGTACCGTACGAGGACAACTGGCAGCCGCTGAGCCTGAGAGTACCAGGCTTCACTGACTTATTAACTGCCGGAGTGCGGCGCAGGTCACGTGGCCGTGACGGGTGAGGGTCGCCGTGCCGCCAACGAATCCGATCAGCCCGGGAAGTCAGGCCTGCCTCAGGGATAAAGAGCGACGATGGGACGCTGCGACGATGGGGTCTTCGTAGGGAGAGAAGGCAGGAGGGTGACGGGGGAAGACAAAGAATGCGAGCGAGGAGGAGGGAGATTGAGGGAGATTGAGGGAGAGAAGAGAAGGAATGTTTCTGTGAGGTGGAGGGGGCAGAGCAGGAAAGAGTCCTCGACAGAGGCAGAAAGGGAGGAAGGAGATACTCCAGTTGGAGGTGAGGGAACTCAGGGGATTCTGCCTTCAACCCTCCATCCCATCCCATCCCTTCCTATCTCTATATCTTTGTTTCAATCCAAGGATGCTCACATGCTGCTCGGCTTCTATGCTTCATTCATTCATATCACACGATCAGTATTCTCCAGCACAGCGGAAGTTTGTTATATCGGAATCTCCTTGAATGCAGGCTTGCTCCCTAGGATCTCTAATCGAAACCGTCGCAGGGCAGACGAAATAATGGAAGCGGAACCACGTCCGAGTAGGCCGGACTCGATCCCTGGCTTCATGGCCATACTTACCTCGCACAGTGGTAAGTCGATGACCCAGTTGGGTTGACTTCCACATTTCATTTTCCTGTGTCCTCCTCCGGCTCTTCCTCTGTCCTCCTCTCCTTCTATTCATCTTCTCTGTCCTATTTCACCACCACCACCTTCACCACCACCGCCGCCGCCGCCGCCGCCGCAACCTCTTCCTCCTCCTCCTTTTTCTCGTCCTCCTCCTCCACCACCACCACCACCATACCAGTATCACCGCCTTGTCAAGCAGCACCTCCTCCTTTCCTTTCCTTCACTTTCCTTTGTTCCATCAGCCACATACCCCATTCCTTTCTCTTCCTCTTCAAACTCCTTAGCCTATTCAGACTCTTCAGTCTCTGTAGCCTCGTTAGCCCCTTACATTCTGGCCCTGACTCTGCATATTAGCAAGAGAAAAAATCAGGCTGGCCAACCGCACGCAGGACAGGGAGACGGCTCGGAAGCTCGAAGACACTTGGTGGGTAGGAGAATGGCGGGGGAATGGAGTGTTCAAGGGCTGGTGGGTTGGATGGATTCGAAACACTGCGACGGACAACTCGGTGCATCTGAAGCTAGTCAGTCAGTACGCCACAGTGCAGTACAGGGACGGTTTGAAATTCCAGAACGCAGTAGTGTCGGAGGACGAGTATACAGCTTTCTCGAACATCTACACACTGATGGACAACAACGAAGACTGCATTGATTTCCTTGACCATCTCATCCGCACGAAGCGGATCAACCCTCGGAACATGGACGCGGCCCAAGAGACGCTGAAAGACATCAAGGGGGAGTACCCTTCCAGTGATAGTGAGGGCTCGTCATCAAACTTGGATGAGATCGGGTGCGAGATGTGCAAGGGGTTCGACTGCTCCGAGGACAACGACATTGTCCTTTGTGGCGGCAAGGATACAGGTTGCGGGAAGGGATGGCACATCAGGTGCCTCAAAATCAAAGAGCTGCCTGAGGGAGATTGGTTCTGTCCCAAGTGCATTGCTGCTGGTGCTGCTGGCTCTTCCAAGGACGACGGGAAGAACCTGTCGAAGAAGAAGTTGGAGATAGCGAAGATCCTATCCAACTGTCAAGAGATGTTCGAAGGTTGAGTGTTTGTGTGTTTGTATTGTCCTATGTCTTGATCTTTGCCTTGTATCTCAGGCGGAGATGAACACGCCAAATCAAACCAAGGACACAGTGCGTTTGTGAAACCGGGGTCGGTGAATCGAAACCGGCCTGCCGGCAACCGGAATGAGCAGAACAGCGGGAAGAGGTGAATGTGTCGGTCGTTTGTGCGAAGACTGACTCTTGACGTGCAAGGGGTAAGAGTGATGACAGCACAGCCGGTCAATCATCGTCATCGCGGCCGAGTCAACCTCAAGGTAGTCAGGCTGCCTCGGACAGGAAGAATCAGCTCAGCAACAGCTCGATGCTGAAGAACGACCAAGTACTTGACATGTCTGACTTGCAACTTCCTAGTTGATGCCTTTGTGCAGGTTGTGCAGGCCCTGGTTAAGATGCACAATGTGTCACAAAGCAGCGTGTGAGGCCCCCATGAGTGCTCTCTTCGCTCCCTTGATGTCTCGGAAACGTTCAGGAAGCTACCAAAGAGGATCCCTTCGAGTTTGAACCACATGTTCAATGTCTCAGGTGAAGCAGTGATCAAGTTGCCAAGAGTTTGAGATGGCGAGGCAGCTGTTGATAAAGGGTTGCGAAAACTGTTAGTGAGAATCGTCGACCACGAAGCCGCTGTGAGTCGCCGATACCTGGTAAGAAAGGGAGGCAATGGAGGATTTGGAAATGATGATGGTGATGATGGTGGTGGTGGTGGTGGTGGTGATGATGATATAGTGATCATGATGATGATCGAGATCGAGATTATCGAGATCGAGATGGAGATCATGATGATGGTCATGTTGATTGTATTGGCAACAGGCATGGAAAATCTACAAACAAGACGTGCTCAACCGCCTTGGATGGACAGTTTTGCATGAAGGTATCGCGTTGTCCACCACCCCACGTCGTCAGACGTCAAGATGTCACCACAGATCCGAGAAACTCTTTCGTCCTCTTTGGAGTTCCGAACGATTTGATGGAAAAGGCGGAGCGGGAGAGGCAGAGGAAGGTAGAGGAGGAAGGATGATCGCCGTTCATGCTCTGCCTCATTTCAACCTGCCCAGATTCCGAAGGAGAAGCGAAAATTTTTCTCCGATAGGAACGACTTCCGGAGGTGCCTCGGATACTCAGCAAGAAATCCTCTCTGACCGTCTTGGATGTCAGATGTCTTGAAGTGATCCTCAAGGAGAAGCACGATGCTGAGGTGCAGCAAGGAAGCTCAAGGAGAGCCAACGTGAGTTCTGAGATATCGTTCCTCCTCTTCTTTCTCCCCTTCCTCCCTCACTCCCTTCCTCCCTCCTCCTCTTTCTCTCCTCCCTCCCTTCCTCCCTCCTCCTCTTTCTCTCCTGCCTCCCTTCCTCCGTCCCTTCTCCCCACCCCCTTCTTCTGCCAGATCTTCTTTTGATTCTCAGTCTAGTCCATCCTTGTCTTTCTACCTCCCCTTCTATTTTCTTCCGCCCCCTTTTTCCTTTTTCCGCCAACCCACCCATCCGAACCCCTCACTACTCTCTTCAGCCTGTCTCTTTCAAACTCCGGTCCTCGCACGACCAGCGTGACCCCCGAGTGTTTGACGGCGAAGCTGAAGAGCTTCCCAGCAACTGGAAGGATCAGGGGCTTGCAGGAAGGCGAGTGGCGGTGTGGGTGGAAGAGGAGAAGCGGTGGAAGGAGGGGCAGCTCAGGGAAATAGCAGAGGATCGAGCCGTCGTCTCGTTCCAGCACGGGTCCAGCTCTTGCGAGGTGAAGGTGGAGGACTACGGGCCGACCAACAGCTGGGTCATTCTTCGAGACCAGGTAGCACCGTTGAGGAGCAGGTCAAAACGAGCCTCTCCCGGCGAGTCCGAGCAGCGAAAGGCGCGCAGGTGGGACAAGGAGGGGGGGCATGAAGGCGGTGCGCGCGAGGGAGCAAAGGAGGAGGGGACCAAGGAGAGTTGGAAGGCGAGGAAGGGATCTGGGGCCAGCAAGGGCGAACGAGACGTATGGAGAGACGTGCTCGACATCGACAAGGATCAAGTCACACAGCAGCTACTGCGCGCAGCACTATTCCACAAGCTCGGGGTTAGTCTCTTGTTCCTGTTCTCACCTTGACTCCATCCCTCGTCGATGCCCCGGCATCAAGGCTATGCTGAACTCTGTGCAGATTGTCATCGGAGAAGAGAACTTCAGGAATATCTTGCAGATCAAGCAGAATGAGCTGGTAGAGAAAGATTGCTTCAACTGGACCTTCCGACAGGGGATCATCAAATCGGATGAATGACCCGCCCGGACTTGCTAAGAGATTCAATCGTTCAATTATTGCGCTATACAACCGGGTTAACATGAGCCATTAAGATATACAGTGAAACAAAAACAATAAAACAGATCTAGAACCCTCAGAAAGAAACCTGTCGGTGAAACATTTTGTCAGTCAGATATCGTTGAAACAAGCCTATGATCATCATTAAACAAAGATTATGATCATGATCGCTCTAATCTTCCTCAATAGCAGCAGCAGCGTGGCCATTGTCATTTGCTTGTAATCATCATCATCATCATCATCATCATCATCAACAACAACAACAACAAACCAAACAACAACAACAACAACACGAACAACAAGAACAAGAACAAGAACAAGAACAAGAACAACAAGAACAACAAGAACAACAACGTCATCCACATCATCAGGAGCATTAACAGCAGATTTAAGGGAAAGAATGGCGTGTCAATACGGCAAACCTGTAGGTCAACTGATGAGTTCGATTCAACAAATTTCTTTTTCAGCTTGTCGTTCCATCGGAATTTGATTGCATTCACTGTGCGATGCGGCAAGGTGTTTTGGATCTGCTCAGCCTCTCTTACCTGCATGACTAGGTCAAAGAGCAAACACACAGGACAGTCGAACCGTCATGTTCTTTGTGGACAACTCTCCCGATCGTATGATCCTCAACTTCGCTATCACCTCCTCATCCTCCTCCGGCGTCCACTCTTGCCCCTGGCAAGCCATCAACACCTCTCAGACACCTCGGAGAGCACCCGACCTTTGTGCAGAAGGATGAGTCTGCTGCTCCATCAGAGGGCTGGAAGAGACCGGATGACGTGAGGGACGGCTCTGTGGCCACCAACGTCGGCAAAATCGCAGTCGTGTCATCATTGACGGCAAGTGACAGATGCTGCTTCTCTTCCATGTCCTCCTTCTCCTCCTCTCTAGCATCTTTGTGCTTCTTGTTCGTCACAGCCCTCGCTCTCCTCTTGTTCGATGTCTTGCTCACTGCAGACAGCTGCTGCACGATCTCAGTTGCCTTCTTCGATTCTTCCTTCGTCTTTCGCGTATTCTTTCCCATCGAGCCCACCCAATTCCTCTACTCTTCCACAACACTTGGGCCAGTAGCGAGGGAAAAGTCTTCCGCACGTGCTAGTGGTGTGCGATCAGGTACTTGACTGTTGTTGTCACCAAAGTTGCGCTAAGGCTTCGCTTTCTCGGGACCATGAGCCGAGTCGACCAGTCTGAACCAACTGAATGCAGTCTGAACCTGGAGGAGAACAACATCAGGCGATGAAAAGGAAGGGAGTGAGACAATGCCCCATTACTCTCAGCAACACAAGAATGAGAGAAAAGTTACTCTTTCAACACTTCAAAAAGGATGTTTCGCAAGGTGCAAGTCAAATTCATATTCTCTCACGTTCGCATACAAAATGGAAACTCAAGGGATTGAAGGACAGCAGCACATGAATCGGCATGGAATGAAAGACTAGAGCGAGCGACGAGCCCGTCGCAACTCCATGAGGGCGCAGAGTGAAAAAAAGGAACCAGCCTGGTACTCCACTAAGAAACGACAAGGAGGACAAGGAGGACAAGGAGGACAAGAGAAGGAGCAGGAAGGAGGGGGAAGCGGAGATGATGGAAGGGTAAGTGGTCATGAGAGAAGAGGAGACGGATGAGAAGGGGCATGTAGGAACGCTGCTCAAGCCCAGGGGCTGCATGGCGGCTGGGGCATGGATGGGCAAGGGTGGTAAGCAGCAAAGGGCTACTACAACGATTCATGGTAGGGGTAGTCATCACTATCACCCCTTAATATTCCCAAAGAAAAATATCATATGGAGGGGTAGTATTCACAAGTTGAGTCCTCTCCGGGGGTCTTTGTTGAGAAGTCGGCTTAACCAAGGGTGGGTGGGTGTACGAGATTTGAAACTAGAAGAAACCGGTCCGCCTCAGCGTCCTCCGGTCCGCCTCAGGAGAAATGCCGGACATTGCCCGGTAAAATAGTTTATTTAGTTGAGTAAATATGTGTACTGTCGCGGATGTTTTGCGCTTCTCCTCCTCCGCTCCTCTTCCAGCCGCACCTCCCATCTGTTGAGGCCAAGGTCTAACCCTATGTAATTTTAATCATACCAGAATTATGAAATATTAGCACTATGGGCCCCAAGATGGATGAGGCACCTCGTTGCTTCCTCGCCTCTTCTTCTCCCCCATAGATCTGTCGTTTGGTTTTTTTTAGGGGGTGCTATTTGCTAAAGGCCAAAATGAACTCTCTTCTTTGTTTTCTTGGCCATCTCGATATAGAGGCACAAGTTTGCGAGGGCGGTATTTGAAATTTTATATTTTCAAAACTTTTATTGAATTTCTCATTTTATTTGAAATTGAGCAGATAATTTATTTCAAGAGTGAACCAACTTTACAAACTGAAGCATTCGAAAACCCTTCTACCAAATTCCCTCCTGTTGTTCACCCCCTCCAATGTAATGTATGTGGGAGGTGGGTCATTTTAAAAAGCAGATTGCGAACCTATTTGCTACGCATTTCAATCTATCTATCTGTTATTGGGATTATGGAGCTTCAAAATGAAATTTGAAGCGCACTGTTTCAATTGATTCACGCCAACTTGTATTAGAATGAAAGTCAGTACAAACAGACGTGTCAAATTGTACCATGCAGTACCAAAAACTTGTACTGTCTTTAAAGTCATCTGAGAAGATGTCTTGTATCTAAAAACATCATTTTTCGATATTTGTTATTAGTAAACATTAATAAAATTCAAAAATTAATAGAAATTTTCACTTACTACTGACGGTTTCTACAAAATTGTACTGGGATTAGTTTTACAAATATATAATGGTTATTGTCAGGTATAAATGAACGGGAAATCAACATAGTTTACTCATTATTTTTTTGCCGTACTGATCTTTGAACTGTTGAATACTACCCTCTTTTGCTCAGACAATTGATGGTCAATAATGGGGTACTTTGTCGAGGGTGGGTGCCAGATAGGAGGCTCGTTCCTATCCCTCATTAGCGCCCATCGTCAATGCAGGAAGAGGGAGGATTGTAGTAGACGAAAGGAGGCAGAGAGAAGGACAGAGGAAGGGGCGCAGGCACTGATAGTGAGAGGAGGATGAGAAACACTTTCTGTAGTTAGTGGCTTCTGCTCTCTTGCAGGCAAACAACACCCATACATTGATTCCGACTTCGGCTTCCGGATTGTTCGTTTTCAAACGAGCTAGCACGAATCATTAGAATTCTCTGGTATCTGGAGATCTGTTGACTGGAACTCTGCGATCGACCGATCAAGATGGAGGACTTTTCGCAAGCCATGGGTATATTCCGAAATTCTCCTGAATGCCTTTGATGCTCATCTCCTTGCCTAACAGGGGTGGTGAACGCTCCTGCGGATGCTGGCGCTCCATTTCAAGACGAGAGCAGCAATGCTGGCTTCGGGGATATGGAAGGTGCTCCTCTGTTCTGATGTGACCTTGCCACGTGTCCTCACTCGCATGCCAACCAGTCAGCGCAGCTCCTCCTCCTCCTGGTCACGAGGTAGAAGGAACGGGGCTAGACATGGCGGCAACCATCGGGCTGGGAGTGAAGAGCCCTATGGCCCTTAAGATACAGCAGCCGCATGCAAGACTGTTCGACAAGATCATCAAGCAGCTCTTCAAGCTTCAGATCAAGGCCGATGCTAAGGAGCACCTGAAAGATCTCTCAAGGTCCTTCTTAGCTGCCTTCCTCCACCACGAGCAGCTGGGAAGGTCTTTGGCTGAGAAGAACTTCGTCAAGATCATTCGCTATCTTGTGCCTACTAAGGCCACCAACTTCGGCGATCGATTGCGAAAGGCTGGCTGGGAACCTCCCGAGGGTATCGAAGTGAGAGTGGAACTGGCGCCAATGAAGAGGCAGGTGCAGGAGCTCTGCGAGGGCGTTTCGGACATAGACAAAGATGGCCTCAAGAGACTTTATTCAGTGGTTGCACATTTCCAGGAAAGGCTCATCCGACATGTTCAGAGCTGCGCTAACAATGAGTCTCTCAAAGTGCTGTCTCTGGAATGGGTCAGGGGGAAGGCCTTGCTTTACATTTCCGACGAGGGCTTTAAACCACTTGTGTGGCTCGCAAGCCCCGAAATCGAAGAGGCCTCCAAGTCTTTTGCTATACCTGTGAACCCAGTCTGTCCAGTGCCTCAGAAATTCTCCTCTACCGAAATGATCATCCCACCTTTGCCGAGGAAACTACGTTCAAACGCGCACTTGAAACTTGTCGACAGGACTGCGAAAAGAATTCTGACCACGCAAATTTCCAACGAGGCTACAGACTCTTTGAAGAGTATTGTATACAATTTGTTCCTCAACTTGATGAAGCATAGAATCACGGACATCAATAACATGCAGGATAACCTGATTTCAGTCATTGGGCCAGCATTTTCAGGACCAAACGCCGTTTCTGAACTCACTACATTCTTTCAAACCTTTGGGCTTCCATTCGACTCAAGCACTGTCCAGGTTGATGCCGAAGGCAAGATAGTGTCAAACCCGAGCATCGTTCCAACCGCAGCCGAGCCATACAAGGAGTCTGACTTCGAAGTAGGGGAGTTGGATGATGGAGACGTCGATGCACAGTCAGACATTGACATGAATGAGGTCAAGGAGACAAGCGACACGGAAAAATATGCAATTCTATCGGATGGGGAAGACCTGAAAGTCGTTCTTCTTTTGAGCTCGTGCAGAAGACTTCTCAAAGATTTAGCAATCGCCGAATCTCCATCGCAGGGCAAGATATACATCGAAACTATTTTCAACTTTGTGTTCTTGTTTTTGTGCAAGCTTCTACGCTACGTTCAATCCAAGGCCCAAGAAGATAACCTCGACATCGTAAAACTTGCCTGGCTCAAGCAGAAAGGATTGCCTGCAGTTGGAAATGAGGAATTCAAACCTTTTCTGTATCTTGTTGGCGCTGAGAAGACGAGCCATGGTGTTTCGAGCATGATTGGCAATCAAGCTTCAAGCAATATGCAAGCTCCTCATGGGAGAGTTGTGGACCGGGTTGTGAAGCAGATTTTCAAATTGCAATTCAAGGCAGACGCAAAAGAATACTTGAAGGACGTGGTGAAGGCATTCATGGTCAGCCTGCTAAAAGTTGACCTTGTCGGTAAAAATTTGGGTGAGAAAGACATTATGAAGACGATTCGAAACTTGGTCCCAACAAAGTCAAGCCAATTCGGAGAGAAGCTTCGGCGCTCCGCTTGTGAAGCCCCAGAAGGCCTCGATTTCAAGGTGGAGAACTCGCAGATGAAGAGGCAAGTGGAGGAGCTCAGTGACAATGAGATCGAGCCCGATAAAGATGGACTGAAGAGATTCTACTCGCTTGTGACTCATTTCAGTGAGAGGCTGGTATCACACATCCAACACATTGCAAATAACGAGGAGGTCAAAGTAATCGCTCTAGATTGGTTGAGGCGAACAGGCCTTCAATCCGTCATTGACGAGGGTTTCAGACCTCTGCTGGAGATGACGCTCAAGGTCATGACTCCTTCCTTCATGCTCAGCTGCCAGAACTTCGCTCGCACCGAGAAAGAATTCCCTGATGGCTCTGCGAAGATGAGCATCACAGGAAAGAGTGGAGCCTTGATCTCTGAAATGGACAAGCAGGACGAAGGGTTCGACGGTAGTGATGGTCTCAACAAGGATAAGAACAAGGACGGGGTTCCAAAGATGGACGATGGGAGAGGATTGGAGGATCCATCTCACAAGATCAAGATCCAGCCACCACATGCGAGACTGGTAGACAGGGTTCTCAAGATGGTATTCAAGCTGCAGCTGAAGGCGGACGCCAAAGACTTCATCAAGGAAGTTGTGAAATGTTTCTTGATTGGATTCCTGAAATCTGAAAGTCTTGGCCGCTCACTTTCAGAGAAGAACATCCTGCGTGCTATAAGGACCATGGTCCCTGCCAAGGCAAGCAACTTTGGTGAGAGATTGAGGAAGGGATGCTGCGAGCCCCCCGAAGGGCTCGACCTGAAGATCGAAGTCGCTCCCATGAGGAGGCAAGTGCAGGAGCTCAGCGACTACCTGCTCGATGGTGATCGAGAGGGACTGAAGAGGCTGTATGCTCTGATTGCTCACTTCAGCGAGAGGCTCGTGCATCACATCCAGCATACTGCCAACAACGAAGAGGTCAAGGTCATCGGGCTGGAATGGCTAAAATCGAAACCGCTCTCGTTCGTTGCCGATGAGGGACTGAAGCCCTTGCTCGAGATCGCAGGCATCGCGATCCAGAATGACGAGAAAGTGTCGCACGCGATCCGCTCAGGAATTGAAGAGAACCCGGCGAAGCGCGGGCTGAGCGAGGACGGCATGGAATGGAATGATCCAAAGCGACAGAAGCTCGACATGGTATCAGGCTTGAACCAGCCTAAGGACTTGACTGCCGAGGGACTTGACACGGCAGTGGAAAGCATGGCAGATCATGATGATGGCAATCAAAGTGGTGACGATGGTGAGGGAGCTGCGAATCGGGCAAAGATGCAACATCCGCATGCTCGGTTGGTGGATCGGATGCTCCGAATGATCTTCAAGCTTCAGCTCAAGGCTGATGCCAAGGAGCACATCAAAGAGCTCACCAAGTGCTTCATTATCGGATTCTTGCGTCTAGAGATCCTTGAGAAGTCGCTGTCCGACAGGACGATGTATCGAGCCATCCGGATGCTGGTTCCTGCCAAAGCAAGCAACTTCGGAGAGAGGCTGAGGCGAGCCGGATGCGAACAACCTGAGGGCTTCGCCTTCAAACTTGAGACGCCCCCCATGAAGGTGCAAGTGAGTGAGCTGAGCGAAGGAACCGTCGACGGCGACAAGGATGGCTTGAAGAGGCTGTATGCTCTAGTCGGGCACTTCTGTGAGCGTTTGGTATCCCATGTCCAGCACACTGCCAACAACGAGGAGGTCAAAGTCATAACGTTGGACTGGATGCGTCTGAAGGCTCTATCGCTGGTCTCGGACGAAGGTTTCAAACCGCTGCTCCGCATGGCTGAAGTCTTCTTTTACCACTACCCCAACGGCGACTACATGAGGGAGTTGAAAGATGTGCTGGGAGCCAGAAGCTCGTTGATGTTGGCTGGTGATGACCTCCTGGATGCGGATGGGAAGTCGAAGCTGGATGACGAGGGGAAGCTCGATGAAGGAGGCCTGGACGACGGCATGCCGGGCGATCCCTCGTCCAAGACCTTGCCGAAGGCTCAGATGCCTCACTCGAAGCTCGTGGACAAGGTGATCAAGCAAACATTCAAGCTGCAGTTGAAAGCGGATGCCAAGGAGCAGCTGAAAGAGTTGACGAGGTCCTTCATGTCCGGCTTTCTGAAGCATGAATCTCTCGAGAAGTCGCTTTCGGAGAAGAACGTTCTGCGAGCCATTCGGACGCTAGTCCCAGCTAAGGTCAGCATCTTCGGAGACAAGCTGAGAAAGTCGTGCTGTGACCCTCCCGAGGGTCTGGATCTCAAGATCGAGATCGCTCCAATGCGCCGGCAGATTCACGAATTGAGCGATGGGGCCGTTGACGCCGACAAGGAGGGGCTGAAGCGATGGTACGCCGTTGCCGCCTACTTCTGCGACCGCTTCGTTGCCCACCTGCAGGTTTGCGCGACCAACGAGGACGTCAAGGTTGTCCCTGCCGAGTACATCCAGACTAGAGCCTACTGCAGCATCACTGACGACGCGCTCAAGGCTCTGCTGGAAGTAGCGGGGGTGACGGTCGCGTATGACGAGAGGATCGTGAAGAAGATGCTCTTCATCACCGAGGAGGTCGAGATGAAGTCAAGCCATGTCGCTGGGGAGTGGTCAGACAACAAGAGAAGGAAAGTGGACAGTGGTCAGGAGAATCTCGACTCAGCGGTGGGGGGCAGCTTTGAAAACCTCGAGCCGGGCTCGGACTTTGACAACCAGGCCTCGAATGAGGTGACTCAGGGAGGAGGCGATGCTGAAGCCGCGGGCGCAGGAGCAAGTGGTGGAGGTGCGGAGGGAGAAGGTGGAGACGGTGAGGGCGGAGACGGTGAGGAGGGAGGAGAGGGGAAGGGGAAGTCCACAGGATCCTCGAAGCCTTTGAATCCGCATGCGAGACTGGTGGACAAGGTGGTCAAGATTGTGTTCAAGCTGCAGCTCAAGGCGGAGGCGAAGGAGCTGATCAAGGACATGCTTCGCTCCTTCGCTGCCGGGTTTCTGCGACAAGAGACGCTCGGCAAGTCGCTGTCGGAGAAGAATGTCTACCGAACCTTCCGCCACCTTATCCCCATCAAGTCGAGCTGCTACGGTGATCGCATGCGAAGGAGCGGCTGCGACATCCCCGACTCTCTTGACATCAAGGTTGAAGTAGCACCCATGAAGAGGTTTGTGCAGGAACTGACGGGCGGACACATGGAGCCTGGCAAGGATGGGATCCGAAGGCTGTACGCCGTCATGGTCAACTTCATCGAACGTCTTGTGCGTCACGTGCAGAATTGTGCGAACAACGACGGGGTGAAGGTGATCAGCATGGAGTGGCTGCGAGACAAAGCTCTGCTGACGATCCTCGATGACGGCATGTTCCCGCTCATCTCTCTCATGGACCCCTCCACCATCCCCTTCCTGCGGGTCCACCCCAAGAATGTTCCTCCCTACATCCGCGTCGGGAAGGGGGACGACGAGCCTGACGGCAAGAAGACAGCAGATGAGGAGGAAAAGAAGCGAGAAGATGACAAAGAAGCTTCAAGCTCCGAGGCTGTTTAGGAGATGAAAGAGCTGCTTGCTTAAATTGAAAGGATAATATGAAGCTTTAATTTGAAACGTCCCTTCTACAAACCAAACCATATAAATGGACAAACAAACACTATCCTGCTGTTGACTATCTTCTCTTCACTGTTCTCTTCACTGTTCTCTTCACTGTTCTCTTCACTGTCACTGTTCTCTTCACTGTTCTCTTCACTGTACATGATTACATACTGTACACCTCTCACGAGCTCGCGCAGATTGAGCCATCAGTTGAGGAGACGGGACACAGACATCTCGGGGTTGTGACTGTCGCCTGCTCCAGCCTTCACCTTCCCGTCCGTCTTGTTCTGCTCACAATCAGCCGAACTGAAACCTTCAAACTCTTCCCCTTCCCTTCCCCCTCCTCCCTCCCCTCCTCCCTCCCCCTCCCTTCTCACCTCGTGGAGCATCATCACTGTCTCCGCCAAAAGTTCTGCGTCCTTGCTCAGGGTCGCGTCATAACTTTCCCTGAGCAGACGGTCAGGACGGGAGGCTCAGCTTCCCTCTCTCACTTCTTCCATGGGTTAGATGGGCTGGAAGATGAGTTGCCGACTCCTGGCGTCTTGGCTCCATACACAGACCGGTACGGCCACTTCTTGATGCCAAGTTTCCTAGTGGCCCGTCAGTGCTCGCAATCCAGGCAATTCCTCGCGTACCGGCATGCGGATTTCATGGCGGTGGCAGAGATTCCTAGCTTGTAAGCAGCTTCATGCAGGGGGAGACTGAAGAACTGCTGGAGAGTCTTCTCGTTGAGCACCACAGGCTTGCTGTTTACTCTCGTTTGCTGCCCTGCCTTGCGGCGGGGGAAGATAGTGTTGAACCCTTTCATCTAACGCTACAGTCAGGGCGAGGAGACGAGAGTCGATCTTGACTCACCTCTGCCATCTCGTTGCTGGGTGAAGGATTTCTTTTCCCGTCATCGTCTTCATGTATTTCCATCGACCTGATTGTGCGCGGGTGACTTGTCTGTCGTGAAACAAGTGTCATTTCCACGAATTTCTGACAAGGAAGCGAGAAAACCGACCGAAAAGCTCTTTGATGCTGCGAGAGATTCTCTGATACAAATATACTCTGATGAGGGCATCAACATGAGTGCTTGTTTACACGTTATACCTCAATCTAAAGCAAAACTAGCCTGGTGGTCTCTTCTCCAACGACCTCTTCAACATGAAATCAGATTCTTGGTTGCAAAGATTCCACAACAACTCACAGAAGGAAATCGAATCATCTCAGGAACTTGCAGCAATGCTGCAAAAGACAAGTCCATCGCCATTCTCCTTCCAAGACAAGGAGTTAGAGAGCACTCATACCGGTACCAACTCAAGAAAATTGTGAAAGTTTAAACATCTACATGACGCGTATACAAGATGCAGGTGGTCATGCAAGTGAAAGTGCAGTCCCAGCGGTCGAGAACAAGAACAGGTGAAGAAAGAGAGGACCATCCAGTCTCTGAGTGGGACGAACAGGAGATCGAGGGAGAGGGGGGGGGGGGGAGAGAGTGGAGAAACCAGTGATGGTAAAGCAAGAATCTGGGCATTTGACCGAAAGTTAAGGTTCATCGAACACTGAACTCGAGGAGGAGAGGAGTGGGAGTAGTAGCAGTAGCAAGAGGGTAGCACAGCAAAGTTGGAGGGCAGGAAGGGGATGGAAGGGGGCGGGGGAGAAAGGGAGGGGTGAGGGGCGGAAGGAAGAATGAGGGGGAGGCGGATGTTTAAAAGGCAGGGAGTCGTATATAAAGGGACTAAATTGAAATATACACTACAAAACAATGTGCTCTCTTTAAAATAGTTTTTGATGCTTGATTAGTGTTTTAGCGTCAAGATGTATTTTTGGACACTGGAAAAATGCCTTTTCAATGAGCCCTGGTACTGAGAAGCCCCCAACCACCTTACCTCTCAATGTCCTATAACAGGGGGGCCCTTGCGAAGAACTTGAATTAAAACTATTATTCAACCTACAAATGGGTTTTACCTTGGTCGACCCCACCCCCTTTTACTACCGTAATAAATGCGGCCTCCAAACCACCCCGACCCCCCCCAATTCCATGAAACTGACCAGCCCTTATACATCTAAAGGAGAACCCCCCACCCCCACTTTCCACATTTGTGCAGTACCAAGAACCCTACCCCTCGATCCTCAACACCCCTTTTTGAAACCACTGAGTCACCCCCTGCCAGACTCAGCGACCGGACCCCATCGAGCGGTCTTATCGATGCTTCTACCCCACCCCCAAATTGGCTTCATTTTGATGACCCTACCCCATTCTTGCCTGACTGCAACACCCGTCGACCCCCACTTTTCCACCACCAGGCTCTACCCCCCGCCCTTCTCATCATCCGATCAGAAATCCGCCCCCCTGAGTAGGCTTAAGAGGGACCACCCCACCTTGCCAGCTGTTTTTCCATGGTAAACAATGGGGTCCTTCTTCAGGGGGCGGGGGATAATGAGAGGCCGCGGACTCCCGATTGATACCGACCGGGAACTTGTCAAGAGGGGGTACTCCTTATAGGCCATAGGGGTGGGTGTGGTAGTACCAGCCTGACTGGCACTTCAGAGTCTCAAACTGCTGACGGTCGTACCGTGCCCGGTGAGGAGGGGGGGGGGATATGACGGGTACGGAGTCACCACTCAATCCGAGCGTTTCGGGGGTCGGGGGGTTGGGTGGACTCCGGGACACCGTGCGGTCACGGTTGACTGGACTGGGACAATCCTGAGTGGGTGGGGTGTCCCTTTGGTTTGTTCAAGGGGAACAATACTCCGGAAACTTGGCTGAAAACCGTTGAAACTTAACTTTGAGTAAACCGTTCGACGGTCGTTGAAAGAGGACCGTCAGACTAAACTGAAAACTTTTACTCATCGTAGTAGGTGGGCGACTCGGACATCGGACGCCGACCGTACCCAGCGGGACGGTGGCACCGTGGCACTGGCAAGTTATCCGCGCCGGCGGCGGCCGCGGAGCCTGGCCCGTGGCGGCCGCCGGCCGCTGTCTGGCACGGTGCGCGGCCAGAGACGGTCACCGACTGGGCCGGGGCCGACGGCCCACGGTCCGACCGTCGGACGGTCCGATCACAGTCGGACGGTCGGCCGGGTCCGAACCGTTGAACCGCCGGACTAAGAGTCGCCGGGGCCGCCGGGGCCCGGCGCCGGCCGCACAGCCGCTGAGCGGCACTCAGGGGCGGCAGGCTGGGCGGCCCGGCCCGCGGGCCCCCCTGGAGCCAGCCCGGCGAGTCTGAGTCGGACCAGCCTGCAGCAGTCACGCCCGCGTCCCGGAGTCCCGGGGCGGCGGCGAGTCCGGGGATCATATCCCGGAGCGGCTCCGGCGGCGGACACCGTCGTGACTCCGGTTGCCGGACCGTCCGTCACGAGGAGTCGTGAAGCTCACTGTCAGTGACGCCGGCCGGCCGCGGCCCCCGCCTGGCCAGTGGGCCGCCGCGGCCCGGGGGGGGACCGTCTCAGCCTTCGCCGGGAGGCCCCCTCGGATGGGCCAGCGCCGCCGGGCCCGGCGGCGGCGGGCGGCGGGCCGGGGCGACGGTCATGTTGGGCCGAAGTCACTGAGCGGCCCAGGCCGGAGTCGGCCCGGCCGGGAGTCGAGCCTGCCGGAGAGTCGGCGGCAACTGAGTCGAACGAACTACAGTTCGGAGGCTGAACTCCCCGGAGTCCCGGAGGTGAATTGAAACCGTTGAACCGTCTTGACTTGGCAAACGACTCGCTGGCAGTTGCTCCTATCCACATTGCTTCAACGGTATTTGATCAAGTGACTCAGGCTCGGTGGCAGACGGCAAAGAACATTTGAATTGAGAGTCATTAAAAACGCCGCCAACAACATTTGAATACACCTCTCTCATCATCACAAGTTTACCTGCAGGGATCCGACTGGTCAAAGTACCTGCTAGCACAGTCTAGCCCCCTCCCTTCCCCCGCCGCGGGCCCTCTCAAGCTCATCCCTTCTCACGCAGAATGACCCATGATGCTCTGGATGCTCTCAGCTCGTTTGATCCGGTAGAGCTTGTGCATCTGCATCCCACCCGTCACCTCTTCCCCCACCAGCCCCCCAGCTCAGCTGCACTCACCTTCACCTTACACTCGTAGATCTTCCTGTCGTGGATCTGTACTTCTCCGATAATGTTCAAGCCACCTTCGCCTTCAAACAGCAGGCACACCATGATGTCTCGGTACCCGTCGGGCGCCTCCTCGAGGCTCAGCTTGTTCTTCACCCGGCACACGCGCATGCCGGTCTTGCCTTGCGACGTCAGCCAGCGATACACTTGCGCCATGTGGCTCGGGCGGTTGCAGATGACGCTTGCTCGCACCTGCACGCACTTGAGGGACTGCAATCGAGACCTGTCGTCCTCCTACCGGGTCAAGAACGCGACGGCTGTAAGGCCAGCCAGCATCCTCCTCCTCCGCCGCCGCATATTCCATCACCTTCTCAGCCATCCTCGGCTTCTTCTTCACCGCAGCAGGTACGAACTCGATCGGATGCACTCCGTCATCGAAATGGCAGGCGATCCTGACCCCCTTCGCCCCCTGGCCTGCGGCTCTTCCAGCGGGTCTCTCGACTTCACACTCGGCCGCATGCGCCTTGAGGACGTCGACTAGCTTGCTATGGAACGAGTCGTTGAGCAGCACCGCACGGCTGTGGAGTTGCGATATGAAGACATCCTCTCGTAGCATCAGGCTCCCCGTGCTCAGCCGCCTCCACGTCTCTAGTTTCTTGTGCAGGCTGGACTCCTTCCTGTCTTCCTCCTCCACTCTGATCGCTCGCACCTGTCATACGGTCATGCCTGTCGGCTACAACCCATCGCCCTGGCAGTACCTGATGGTCATCCTGGTAGAACAAGGCGTCGACGAAGCCTTGCCCGACCTCCTTGAGCTCAGCTCCTCCTGCTTCCTTCATCATGGACTCATACCTTCTGTCGTTGATGCGGGCGAGCTTGTCCATGAGCCGCTGGATGTGCTTCTTCAAGCGAGGCAGGAGCTGCGGGTTGTCTCGCCAAGCGTTGAGTCGCAGCACACGCCCGGTGAAGTATTCATATGCTCGCTCGAAGTCTCCGCTCAGGTACTGGGTGAAAGCTTCATCCTCGTACAAGCTGTGCGTTGTCTCTGCCATCAACACATCTCCAAGGCTCTCTCGAGACTGCAGCATGCGAGCCTTCCACCCCACCGACAGCATGTCGCTGCCTTCCTCTTCGCTCCTCGAGCTCGAGGGGCTCAGGATCCGAAGACACACCATGAGGATGAGGCTGTGCAGTCGCTGCATCATCTCGGTCATCTCCTCCCCCCCCTGCTGCGCCTCGAGGTCTAGCGCGTCCGTCTCCGCCTTCATGGACTCCTCGTCCGCTATCATTCCGAACGACCTGCCCGCAACGACATCTGCTCTGTACTTGACAAAGTCGTAGAAGCGCTCGAAGTCGTTCTTGGCAAAGTCATCGCCCAGCGCAAGCTTGGCCACAGCCTCTACGCTTCGCTTGTCCATGACGATGACCCTCGACCTCCGGTAGCAGCTGAAGATGGAAGACGACTTCTCGCTCGGCAAGATGTACCCTGCGCTCACGGTGACTCCCAAGGCTTCTCGGACTCGACTCATCATGTTTGACAAGTCTGTCTCCTCTGCCGTTCTGTTTCTGAGCGACGCCTTGTAAAGCCGGTAGAACGCCGCCGAGATCGCCAGCAGAAGTACCAGGAAGCCTCCGCTGACTGCCAGCACGATCGTCAGCAGCTTGTCACGACCTTGACCCGACCCGTCACTGGGCGGATTCCAGCCGCTTCTTCCGCCAGGCCACAGCGGAGTCAGTCCGCTAACGTCGGCGAAGGCCTGGGCGGCCTCCCACGTACCGATGACGACGGACTCTATCACGGACGCGTTCGCTGAGGACGGCTGGATGTTCTCGATAGTCACGACGATCCCGTTGGGCTCTCGATCTCCCGACGCGTCGAAGGACACCAGTCCCGAGGCCCCGGGGAACGAGGAGTTTCTGATCGCATGAGCAAGCGCCGCCCCCGTGCCGTTGGTCTTGGCCAGCCCCAGCGCAGTGGCCCACGCGGCATCGTAAGCGAAGGAGGCATAGTCGGGCAAGGGCATGGAGTACTCCGCGGGCTTCATGCCGATGATGGAGTTGTTCACCTTGGACTGGTCGACCGTCCTGAAAGCGGTCTCAAGGAGGTCTCGCTTCTTCCCGTACAAAGGAGCGACGCGAATCTGTATCCAGCCCTTGAGAAGCGCCGCCAGCTGCTTGTGCTGCATGGATGCCACCACCGCACTCGGCACTCCTATCTCCCCCGCCACCCACGCGTGTCCGTCCTGCAAGAGCCCCTCCTTGTTGGAATAGGTCAGCACCAGCTCCAGGTTGGGTACGCCGATGCCGAGGTAGAGGAAGATCTTGGCGCGGCTCTTCTGCAGGGAGCTCATGGCTGCAGCAATGGACTTGGAGCCTTCTGGCACAAACTTCTGTACTTGAACCAAGTCGACGCCCTTGGACGAGGCTTGTTCCTGCACATTTGACAGGAAGCCGTTGCCGTAGGTTGTGTCCTCACACAGGACCGCGATCTGCTTCCACTTGAACCGCAGGCATACCCCGATGAGCGCCATGGCATTCAGCATGATGAGAGGGTTGGTTCGCGAGAAGAGCGGGTACGTCTGCTTGTCCGAGAGAAGCGTGGAAGAGGCCCCGAAGCTCGTCACCGGCGTCCCCTGCAGAGCAGACACAAGGCTCACGACCTGCGACCCGTCCGAGGTCATCGGGCCCACTATCGCATCGATGCTCGACGACTCTCTCCACGCCAAGACTTCCTTGAGCGCCTCTGCTGCGTCGAACTGCGAGTCTTTGAACTTCACGTCGATGCGGAAGCCCTGCCAGCTCACGTCACGCCCAGCACCAAGGCCAGCTCGTCGCAGACCTGGGGCAGGCGGTCGACGACGGCTTGGCCGACGATCTGAGGGTCTCGAGTGTTGACGTGATAGAGCGCGATGAGGCAGGCCATGGAGACCTGCTTGAACGCCAGGAGAGGCACAGACCCGTACGTCTTGACCAGCACCGGCGACAGCACTCCCACTGTGCTGTTGAGCGACTGACCAGCGGCCGATGAGGAGGAGAGGATGCAGGCAACGAGGAGGAGGGGTGGGAGCCTGCTGGTCATTGCTGGTGGTGCTTCGGTCCTGGCGGAGCCTGGAGAAGGTAAAGAGAGTCATTGGGAAAGTAGTAAGTAAAGTCTTTCTCAGACAGAATGTTTGTTCTGTTGATATCCTCTTCATTGTTCACTCTTCATTTTCCTCGCTCTGTCACTTGTATTTTCTATTCTTCGATCATTTCTAGGCACCTCTTTTTTTCTCTTTCGTTCGCACTCGCTTGCAATCTTTCTCTTTATGTCATTCTCTTTCTCTGTCGCTGTCTCTTTGTGTCTCTCTGTCTCTCTCGCTCCCTCCCTCTCCT